ACTCTACTGTTAAATATGATCTTAGTCTTTCACTTCTTCATTCTAACTCTGACTTTCAGACTTTCTCTATTCAGATTGTTTATTAGTTGTTGCATTTCATTTGCAGATTCACTGAAAAAAACAATATCATCTGCAAGTCTGAGATTGTTTAGGTATTTGTCTCTATTTTGATACCTTTTCTGTTCCATTCTAGCTTCTTGAATATTTCCTCAAGGCAAGCTGTAAACAGTTTTGGTGAAATGGCATCGCCCTGTCTAACACTTTTTGTAATTGGTATTTTATCGGTTTCCGTGTGGAGCTTGATGGCTGCTGTCCCATGTTCGTATATATTTTCTATTCCCTGTCTTCAAATAGCTTCTGTTACTGCTGGCATTTGTACAGAGTTAAATGCTTTTTCGTAATCGGCGAATGCCATTCGCAGGGGTTTCCTATATTCGTTTATTACTATTATTGTTTCTTTTTTTTATTATTATTCTTTTATATTTTTTTCAAACTTATTATCATTTTTTATATAGACTGGTTAGAATCCAGAGTGTTAGAGATGTGAGTTATGATGACTTGTGAATAGTTTGTAAGTATCTGAAAAGAGGCCGGTAGTTTTTTTAGATCCTTTCTATGCCCTTTTTGATGTATCAAAATCATTGTTATAGTTTTCTAGCCTTTCGGAGTTTTACATTTGAGAAGGCATTTGTTAAAAAGATTGCAATTTCTGCATCTTTTATCCAATTCTGTCTCCACCTGGTGGTTTCCCTCTTTTCATGTCTGTAAGCGCTCTTTCAGTACACTTTACATTTCATTCTTATTATATGTCACTTCTCCGTCTTGTTTCTATGTTGCATACATCTGATTTCTCCCTATTCTGAGTTTCATTTTAGCCGTTTTCATGCTGGTACCTGAGATCACTATTTCATTTATTATTTGAGTATTGAATTTCCGTACATTTCTTTTCTTTTTATTTATAGTCTTTGTTAGTTCAGATATTTCTATTCTGTACCTGTTTGACGATACTTTCATGACCCTACGTTTTTGCATTAGCTGTTTAGTTTCTACTGAGAGCTTCCTGGAGCTTTGCTTGACTTCAAGTGCAGCTTCCTTTATTGCCATTGAACTGTTTGTTGATTTGGTCAATGCTGAGATCTTCGTTGAGAAGTGAATATCTGTTTTGGATATTAAGGTTAAATTCTGTCGCTCTGGTCTTCAAGTTAGCAAAATTTGTTTGTTCCTTTCCCTTCTGAGGTCTAATTTAATTTGGCCTTTGACTATGCTTTGGTCGCTGCCAACATTTACTTTATTAATAACTTCCACGTGTGTGTGCGTGTGTGTACTTACATACACACACGCACACTAATATATATACACAAATATTTTTATATATATTTATATATATATACACACACATACATACATACATACATATATATATATATATATATATATATATATATATATATATATATATGAATGAGGAAAACACTCAACCGTGTTGATACTATGGTAGAAAAACCCACAATCTAGTTTTTACATTGTGGGTTTTTCTACCATATACATATATATATATATATATATATATATATATATATATATATGTGTGTGTGTGTGTGTGTGTGTGTGTGTGTGTATGTATGTATATATATATATATATATAAACTGTGCATTTATATACACATACATACATACTCAAACACACATACATGTATATGTATATTTGTGTGTATATATTTATGTATACACACACATACATGGACACCAAACACTCATTCACACACACACGCACTCACATGCACACAGGCACATATATATATAGACAGATAGATATAGATATAGATTTATATAAAGATTCATAAAGATTCAGACATGAACGTGAACGTGCAGATACACGCGTACACGCTTGTACAGGAAAGCAGAAATTCTGGTCGCCAATCACTTTTATGAGAGAATCTGTTTTTCCTTAGTTCTGTTTGATAGTTTGGTTTACTTGCTGATTTAGTTATATTGTTGAATCTTTGTATCGCCGCACGCATTTCTAAGTTAGTAAAAGGTTTACTCACATAACCCATGAAAACAGTTCGTTATTTCATATAATATAATGGTTAATAACCAGTTACTCTTTGGGTATCTACTGGTACCGCTGAGTGCCAAGGAGGAACTCAAGTGCTGATTTGCAAAGAGACGAGTCATCTTATAGTTGCGGTGGAAAATTCTGCAGGGAGCAGAACTATTCTTGTAAAACGTTGTGGGTTATAAAGCTTTGCATTGCTACAGGATCTGCTACATTAATCCATTGCCGCCGGGGATGGCATGTACGTACATGCCATGCCCACTGTGAGTCGACTTCTTCGATTATTTTTACACATAGATGGCTACACTTGTACTAAGTATCCAATGAGCCAATTACGAGTACTGCCTGTCTCGCCCGTTCACCCTTTTCATCGATTTACGAAAATATTTAACGTTATCCTAATTTGCTAATATAAAAAATAAGTCCTGCATTTCCCCCATT